CACAGCCTGATAAAAAACCCAGTCTCCAAGCTATTCTCCACCTCTGTGAGCAACATTCCCTGCATATATGAAGAATTTGCCACTCCAGGTTCAGGTTTTTGTTGCTCCAAACATGCCATCCACAATCTCCTGTAGAGCAGTAACAGGCTCTGAGGAGCCTCCCCTGCACAGAGAATCCCACTGTTCTCCTAAATGGGGAGAAAGCATTTAACTAAATTGCCACTGTGATTTATTTTTAATGTAGAAACACTTGCAGTGGTACAATCCAACACACACAGATGGTAATCTGTCTAATTTGTGTGGAGTAATTAATAGCATAAACCAACACACTGCCAAAATAGGGCAATATAAAAATATCAAGACAGGTTTACGTTGTCATTGTTTAGATTATTTTATCAAAAACTGAATGCAGAGGTATGAATAATTTTAGGTACATTGTATAGAAACAAAAAAATTAATTCAGGGACAGATCTCATAGTCTGGCAAAGGAAACATGAGACAGATCCAGATTTATGGAAGAGATCATGGAATCTGTAAAAGATGCTGAAACTTTTGTTATTTGGTCCTCAGCCTTTGACATAAGCAGGGGAGAGCATTATACAATCACAGTATCACAGAATGCATTCTTAACATGTTAAATTCTCTAAAGTTTTAACTGATATCTTAAGCAGTTGTCTGAGTTCTTACAGTGTAAACCTGGAGCAGTAAGCTATTTTAACCAAAGCTAATTTTGATATTTCAGAGAGTAAAAGATTTATCAAATATTTTAAATCTCTTCCCATTCAATAGTCTAGATCTTATTTAGATCAATGGTAGTTTGCTACTGTTGGCTTTTTTACCTGAAGATGCTACTTGGATTCGTGTTCTCTCTTTCAAACCTAAAATGGGATTTCTTAGGTGAATCAACCCAAAATTTGGGACCCATTGTCATTGCTAAAGACCCAGACAAAGACAGTTATGGTGCTGCTGTGAAGAGAGCAGGATGACAAATAACCTCTGATATGGAATTTGCGTGTGTGTGTGTGCCAGAAAGCTGTCTGTGTCATTCACTTTATGGCATCTGAGTCAAGCTCAGCTCTGGCAAAGAGGATAATAACTGGATACCAAGGCAGAAGCAGATTTGTCAGAAGCAGTCTATTAGACCAACAGGTACCTCCAGTAGGTGCTTTCTCCTGGATAACAAGTATGGTATTTCAGACTGTCAGCAAGTTCAGAAAATTCTCTTGTTTCATTCAGTAACACAACAGTGACAGAACAGAAAGAGACTCAAGCAACTTCACTGCAATTAGTGTTACTGATCTTCCTCAGATTACTAATACAGAAAAAAAACTCAACATGTTGAAGCACTAATGAGCTGTGGAAGTCAGGAAATATCCATGCCATGAAGCTTCACTACGTTTCTGTTGGTGTGCTTTCCTGTTTGAGCAGTATTATTCTATTCAGAAAGGAAAAATTCCTTACAAAGGTTTATCATGATTCAGCTAAAAGACCTGCCCCTCCACCCACACCCATCCATTACTATTGTCTTACGAACAACATTCATACTTCATAAGAGCAAACTTCACAAATTAAAAAAAAAAAAAAGACTAGCACTCAGGGATACCAGATGTTTCACAGACGTGAAAAAAGCACTTGGATAATATCAAAACTAATCAATTCTGTACAAGAAAGCATAGCAAATAGTTTAGAAAACACAAGTCACAGATCACTATCATGCAACCAGATTCTCTTGTACAAACACCAAAAAAAAGGAGAAAATAAAGAATGCATAGAACAAAATTTTTCATTGACCTGATTTGTCAGAGATGTTGGCTGTGACTGGCGTGGTGGAGCAGCTTGTGTTAGCCTTTGCGCTGTCCTTGGAAGAACCAACTTTGGGTTTATTTTTCGTTGCCTCTAGTGCTTTGACCTTCTTGGCATGTTTACTTCCTTTGTAGTGGGCCTCGGCCTGGCTCTACAAAGGAGAACAAATCAGGCTCACTGTTTTCTGTACTTCCATATAACATAATGGATGACAAGGCAGAAAAGTGACACTTTCAATAGTAGGCACCACATTATTCCTCCCAGAAAATTTTAGTAGCTTTATACTAACAGTTTTCCTTGATGAAAGTTCTTATTTATTCAAAGGACAAGATTTTAATGAATGGTACATGTTTTCAGTAACTCGGAAAAAGAGGCTTCAAGATTACATAAAGCTCTGTCGCTCTAACATAATTCTTTACTTTGACGGTGCTTAAAGATTTAAAGCACTACACAAATGTAAACACATCCAATTGAGAAAGATGCTACTCAATTTTAATGTACTGTTCCCTAGTCTTTATTGCTTGTAGTTAGAAAGATGTACCATGCTGTAACATGATTAAATAATCCATTTTTCCTTCTGTTTGATCTAGTCAAGTCAGAAAGTATTTTCATCATTACACTAACAGCAACTGAAAAAGGTATTGATGACATTATGACTTCACTATCAGATCAAGAAAGAAGGGTTAAAATGAAAAAACACCATACTTACAAACTTCAGTATACTCAAGTAAAACACAGAAAACTAAATACTTATCAGTCTTGACTGTTTTATAAATTGCCTTGAATAATTTTTTTCCAAAACCTGAGAAAATTAGAACCTGAAGGACAGGAAGGTGAGAAGCATATATTTATTGTCCTCTTTTCTGTGTGTTTGTTTTGTGGATTTGTTTTGGTTTGGGTTTTTTTGATTTTTGTTGTTGGTTGGTTTTTTTTTTTTTTTTGTCTATAATATACTCTTCTTGTTCTGCCCAAAAAGAACAGTAGAAATATGTACTGAGATGTTATGTTTATTTCACATTTGTCTTAAAACTATTTTCAGAAAGTAGGTCATTGTTTTTGAAGCTAATCCTAGACACAAAAACAAATGCCCGTTTTTTCAGTCCCCGTTATTGTTCCTGACTCTACATAACCAATTGTCTTCCCAAATCAAGCCACTTTGTTAGGTGTAAAACTAAGGAACTACATGTTTAATAAAAACTCCAAAGCTTGGAAATTTCAGCTAATGAATTTAAATGTTTTTCTTGACTTCTTAAGAAATTAACAAAAATTGGTAAGAAACATAATTTTATAAAAACCACAGTCTATTTTCATAACATTATACTGTTCAGCAATAACTTCGCACTATTAGTATTTCCAAACACAATCAAAAAAAATTATTTCAGACATACTACTAGGTGCCTCTATTGAAGGTTACATATTAACTACAAAAGTTAATATTGTAATTTATTTCAAAGTAAAACACTCAGAGAAAGCATGCTTCATGTAACCAGATGACCACACCTTGGCACCTGGCATATAAAAACATCAGTGCAAGTAAACTTTTACTATGTTCATGCAAAAACACATTCTCTCTCCTCAATTGATTAGGACTATTTTATCTAGTTCACTGTGTTAAATGAAGCAAGCCATGAAACAAGTCACATGCTTTTATAAAAAGCAGCTATAACATCTAAGACATTTGAATTCCATAGAGTGCTGTCAGAATGAGGAAAATAGTTTTAAGATCAGCAGAAATAGGCATTACAATAGTCACCTTGGGACATCATGTAATAACAGTTTTATCATATGAGTGTAAGCTTGAGTGTAAGCGAAGAGTATAAACAGCTGGACCAGACAAAAGAATAGACAGTGTGTTGGAGTCCTCACAAAATTATACGCACCATTAAAACTGACAGAGAACTGCTGCTAAAATAGAGAATTTCGTATACATCGAAGCTTCTTAAGTGATTACACACCCTGTGAAACAGTGCTTTCCACCTCGAAAGGATATAGTGTATGTGACATTGTGTGTCTGCCACTTTTCTTTTATAGGAGATTTCAGTAAGCAAGCATTCAGTAAGAAAGGCTGCTAGATAAGTTTTACTTTGAATTCCTTTGAAATCAAGATTTTAAAAAAGCCCCTTTATTATAAAACCAGCAAAGAATCTCCTCATCAATTGCTACTAAACTATTTCTTGGTTTTAGAACCTTTGAAATATTAACACGTGTAGAAACAGAATTTAAGGATTATAAAGAAAAACTAAACAGCTATACCACTACTACTACGTGCACTACTTAAAGGGACACTTGTCAACTTCTGGTTGGACTTCTTCAGTTCTGAATGGGGGCAGAGGAGCACAGATCTGTTTGCACCCTGTTATGTTGATGGGCCTTACACAAGCACAGGAATCTCACCCTGTCTCCCTCCACCCTTGCTCAGTTTTGTCCACTTCTCTTAAGCTTTGCTGTTGCTACGTGATGCACTAGAAGGAGTGTGTGCCATCAACAAAATTAAATAAACTATTCACACATTACAGTGTACAAGATATGAAGCTAAAAATTGAGATGTATATATACCCTTTCAGTTCCAATACTTTTAACTTTAAGTAATAGCAAGATTTTCCATGCAAGCATTCTCAAGTTGATGATGTCCCTTTAAATATTTGAACTCAATGCTCTGAGCATATGTGTGCTGTTGATAGGATCATATGCTGCCTGAGGCCAAAGCTATAACATAAGAGACATAAGTGCACTCAAGAGAAAGACTTAGTAAGTCAATTCCTTGATAATAAGCCTTTCTGCTGATATTTGCAATAATAATGCCTGCAATATCAGTAATAACCTACTACAGTCTTTGATTCCCTTCATTCAATCCTCTTATAGTGTACATGAGACCTGTTGAGAACAAACAAGCCCAGGCAGAATTAAAATTAAGACTTCCATACACACAAGTAAAGCCTCATGGAAATGCAGTGGACTCATTTTTAATTTAAGTTTTGTAATTATTATAATCTTTTTATTTTCAAATTCATAGTTGTACATTATAAGGCCAAAAGGCATTGCTATGACCACCTAAGTAGGGTTTCTGAAAACACCAGCCTTTCCCAAAGCTATTTGAACAAGTCCATATTCCTTTGGGGAAATAAAATTGTCCAGCCTTGATTTTAAAGTAGCTAGGGATGATAAAATCTACCTTTGGCAAATTGTTACAGTGTTTCACTTTGTCAGTCAAGGACATACCATTTATTTCTACACCAGATTTGTCTAGTTTCAACTTTCAGTGGCTGGATTTTGTTTTCTAGGCTCTTTCAACTCATCTCTGTTCTGTGAGTAGAAACACAGATACTCTTTTCAAACATGAAGTTAGAGAAGCATTCCTTGAGGAACTGAAACAATGTTTCCTAGCCACATAAGCACTGTTTTCTAACCCTTTTGGATACACCTGATATTCAGAGTTTGCTTATTATCCACTGTGGGACAAATAATTGATTTGGTTACCTTTTGGTAACCAAAATGCAATACCAACACAGAACTGTGTTTTGTGTGTTACAAAAGCCATTGGAATTTTCTGGTAAGCAAAAGAAAAAAGATGGCTGTGGGAATCTGAAATTGGAACACAAGTTCTGATTATTACTGGTACTAATTATTCTGATTATTAACATCCTGATCGTTACTAACCATGTTTTATAAAATATTTGCACAAGTACCACATTAAAGGCAAACGTATTTGTTCCAAGTCTCATTTAAAACTTGTTTCTGACACAAATACAGCAATGCAGTACAGGTTACAAGCTTTGTAACATACATCACTGAAATACTAAACATATCTTTGAAATAAGCTGTGACATAAAATGTTCATTTTTAGTTAAGACAAGAAGCCAAAAAATTATTTTCATTTGCTCTGATAATCCAAAGGAAGTTCTGTACATACAAAGTTTAATAGTCACATGTATAAAAGAAAGATAATTTACCAGTTTTAATATAAAACCCCAATAAAATACAAAGTGAAATTAAGACTAAATATCTTAGGGAGGATTTTAAATGGATACTGAGTGTGCTTTTTGATCATCATTAACATTAACTAAACTAAGTACAACTAATTCATGCAAATTCCATATCACCCAAACAATATTCGAGAAAGTAGAAAAAGTTAGGAAAAGCAAAAATAAAGATATGTATCCTTAACATAGCTCTCTGTACTCATGTACTGTGATGCTTTTCAATTGTGCAGTAACTTTTTCCAGTGTATAGGGCTGCATTTACTGTAGGGAAGAATTAATTCTATAGCAAAATAATTTATGTGTGCCACAATTCAATATTATTGGAATCTTTAATTTTTTATTGTGAAAAGATTGTTAAATTTATTGCTTATATAATCAAAGTTAAATGTCACCACTGAACTTCTATTATTACTATAATTTTTAAATGAAACGCTTACTAGGTTAAGGAGGTTTTTGAAGAAGTGAAATAAGAAAATATTTCATATGAAAGAACTCCCTACCTAAAAGAAAAATCTAATTTCTACTTGGTTCTAAAACTGGCTGTGGTCTACTAGCTTGATATATACACATTGCAACATTCTAAAATTGAATCCCCCTACTTATTAGAAAGTCACCAAGTACTGGCTAATATGATTAAATGAACCAGAAAAGCTTTAAGCTGCAATAAATGTGGCATTACATACCAGAATGCAAAAAAATACCTTTGTACTGACAGGCCAAATTCCACAAAAGTGTTTATGCATTTGCCTGGCATTACTTTTTGATCAACGGGATGCATATTTTAAGACACTAAACATATATCTAAATCTTTAGAAGATCACGGCTCAATGAAAAGCTGTATTTTGAATTCACTTGCAAATAACTAAGAACATCATTGACAGACAAATAAATATGCGATTTTCTCCCATCATTTTTCAAATTTCTACACCTTAAAAATTGTGGGAGGATGCCTGTCCTCTCTTTAAGCAATCCAGATTTTTAGTTCCATTCACAGTCTTTAAGTAGTAATTAAAAAACCCCAAGCAATTTTTTTTTTTTTTTTTTTAAGAAAGCCTTCTGTGCTATAAGGATTAATGACTTGGTTGTAAGAAAGAACAAGTTTTTTTTCCTCTCTTAAAAATACATTTCATTGAGACACACAAATCATCTAAATACTACATTTTATTTAAAA